ATGGGATTCCTTTACAATTCAGCAAAAATGAGAAATGGGACCTGATGAGAAGCAGGGGAACATTTCCCTGCTCCAATTCCACGTACAATGCTTGCTTGGCACACAATAATTCTTGAAACTATGCTGAAGAGATTTTAACATATCGTTGGTGTGAAGTCAACAAATTGAGAACAGGTGTATAAATGATGTTGTCTACCAATATGCTGATTTACAGGTCTAGTGGCCATTAGGAATTGAATTCATCGCTCTCTTGCGGACTAGTCCTCTGAGCTGATTAAGGCAGCTAAAGGCCTTAAGGAGCATCATCAGCAATCTTAGATGCAACTCCGCTTTTACTGTGTTACCAATGAGTAACCGAAAGCACCATGGAGCACTAATTCAAATTAGTATTCAATTCCCTGCCCTGAGACTGATACCAGAGTGTGAACAATGAGGTGGGCAGAGAGAGGGAAGTGGAAGTTACATGATGCTGGCTTCTATGTGACATGCTAAGGCAACATTCTATCATAATGGATTTTAGACAGGAAAGCAATGCAGTCGGATTTGCAGGGTAGATATATGGCTCTGTGGCTATGTAGGTGGATAGAAAGGTGATGGACGGGTTCAGCCGGAGAAGTGAAAGACTTGCAGTGGGAGAGCAGAGATACAAACCAGGGAGGAGCAACTTCCTTTAGGATGCTTCAGAAACAGCTTAACTTCATTCAGACTGTATAAAAAAACAAATAAGATTCTCCTAAATGGACCCTGCCAGTCTTCTGTCTCAGGAATGATCACATGATTCATTCACTAAGTAATGCAAATCACAAATTTTGCTTTTATTTTCATTTCCTAAATTTATTTAAATACCATAGCCTGTGGATTCTAACTCATTGTTATATTCAAATCCATTTGCTTTTCCCTCTTCTCCCATATCCCAGTTCACTAATGCTTTTGCCAGAGTTCAGCCCTGTAACTGATATGACACACCCACTCCTGAGCCTGGAAATGCGTTCTCCTTCTGGAATGATCCTTGTAGCATTATCAACCATGGTACACCTTCTTCAAAGCCTCAGTGGCTCCCTATCGTTCTGGGATAATGTCTACACTCCTTAAAATTGCCTACAATTCCTCTGTGAGCTAGATCCTGTGGGGGAATAATAAACATCTCTACCATTACTGTGTCCTGAGCGAGGCTCTGGGCCATGCTTTGCAGACATTATTTCATCTTCTTCTAAGACCTCCTAGCATCTCCCCCACCACACACTTCGCAGATAAGGAAATGGAGTCGGATAGCAGTGTGGAACAGATTCACAGTTGCACACACAATCAAGTACTGAAGCTAGGTCTGCACAGCTTTAGGACATGTGCTCTCCAATGCCACACGCCCTCACGATGTGAACTCAACCATCCTGAATCACACTCACTTGCTCTTGCCATGAGGTCTCCATGCAAACTATCTTCTAGGTCTGGATCCCTACAGTGATCTCACTGCATGGATAATTACTCATAAGAAAAGTGAACTGGTGTATGTCCATAATACTAGCACCTGCCAGACTGAGGCAGGAAACCCTGTCTCAAAATGAATGAATGAATGAAATGAATGAGTACTAAATCTCTCCTTGAGGGGTTTGCCTCAAGGAACTCTTCCCTTACTATATAACATTAAATGTTAATTTACTTTATGACCTGTCTCCCTTCAGCAGAATATGCAAACTGTTACCACGAGTCTCTAGTTCTTGCTGTGGCATTCACTATTTGTTGCTCAAATGCATGCGTGAATGAATGCTCCATAAAATGATCTCATCTATGCAAACCGATGTGAGACAGAAAGAAGGCAAATACATTTGTTTATCCATTGGATGTTTATTTAGTAGCTTCCAGGTCCCAGCCAATCCTCTTGAGAACTCAGAGCCCTTCCAGGGAAGACTCGCATATCAATATGAGATTACAGAACAATACAAATCAAGTACCTCTTATAATAATGGCAGCAATAAAGTATAATAGATGCAGAACAGAGAAAGAAATGTACGTCTATAGGAAGCCACTACAGTACAGAACATGGAATCCTTTTGCAGAATAAATTAGGCTCAAAACTATTTTACATGGTCTACATACTGCACTTGTGGAAGGGGAGCAGTGCGTTCACTGGCTAGGACAGCACTTTCTACGCCACTTCATTCCCACAAGGGCTGTGTTCTTACCTGATTTTATAGAGGTGAAAAATCGAACACAAGGAAAGTCAGGGCACTTGTCCAAGCTTATGGCAGGACATTAATAAGGAAGCATCTGGACCTAGCTCTGACTCTAGTGCGCCCGCTTCTGCAGCAGATCTTTGACACAGTACTCCCCACAGTTCAAGTACTTCGTTATCTAGTTTCCCACACAAATCTAAATAAACAGCAAGATGAAAGGCCAAAAGACACCAAAGTGAGGTAGAGTAACAAGAGGAAGGGCAAACCCCCCTAAAGACTGGGAAAAAAAAAACTTAAAAACTTATGTGTCAGGTAGTTCCATACAGCCCATGACAGGATTTGATGTCCACAGTTATGACTCCATTATTAAAACATAGCTATAGGATCAATATGGACGTCTAAGAGAAGCAACTTCTTATGCCTTAGGGATGAAATGTACATACATGGAAAATTAATTCCTTGCTGGAAAATGAATTATAATAATTGATTCTAAAGTGCTTGTAAGGAATAGTTCAAGATCTTAGCTTTTGAAGATCAGCATTTTATCGATGATTGTTTTTCTTTTGTTTTATTTGAATTCAAGCCATGACAGAAAACTGCCATATCGTAATCCACAATCACTTAATCACCATCACTTCATATCTACAAACATGTCTCCCACTCCTTCAAATTCTAACACACCTCCTGATAAAACAGGATAAAGAGAGTAGAAAAATGACAGGAGATTATAGCATTTCACTTACAAATTTGAGTGTGAGAAGACAAAAGAAACAATTTGGGGGAACAGAAAATAACTGAACAACCCTGTATTTATAGCAAATGCCTTACCTGGGTCCAACTTTTCTTTTTTCTTTTTCAGGCAGGGTCTTGCCATATAGCCATGTACTGAACTGGTACTCATATACCATGTGGCCAGGCTGGTCTCGAACTTCTGACAGTATTATTTCTGCCTCAACCTCCTGAGGGTACTGAGCTTAAGCTACTACACACCTGACTTCGGGTCCAACTTTGCAACCTGAACATGTTGACTTCCTTATGACTTGGGTTGGCTTTTATTATTATTTTCTAGGTCTGCTTTAGGATGCATTTAGGAAATGAAAATGTCTAAACAATCTGCCTTTGTTGTGAAGAGCCAGAGAAAATTAGTCTGCCATCTGCGAGCTACCTTGAATAAATATGACACATTTAATATCAATTTCTTACTTTAGAGGCTTTCAATGAGAAACTTTCCACACAGGACACTGAAACAATGTTAAAAGTACACTGGTTACACTTGGCAACAAACAAAAAGAAATACAAAGACTTGACATAATTAACTATACCTTTCATACATATTATTTCCACCAGCAAGGCCATTTCTGCCTAAAACACCATAAAAACAACTCTCATTTATCTCTTTTTGAAAACCGTTTTCAGTTTACACTGCTGAATGTGGGGCCAACATTCAGTGTTTTACGGAACCCTCCGACGCCTAGTGAAGAGCTCACACAATAACCCGTTTGCCCGTTGGAAGCAAGAGCGACGGGAATAGCTGCGAGTTCAATGTCACCGTCTAGTTATTCTAATAAGGCTCTTACCTCGACGCTCCTCAGAATGAACCCACTTCTCTCTCTCACGTCTTTAAAGGGACACCGCTTAGAAAGCATGAGCAGATGAGCAAGGAGCTTATTCATCCCATCCAGAGAAACAGCATTCGAAAGCCCGTCCGGAGGTCGAAAAAGCGTCTCTTTCACTGAACGAAGGTACTCGGTTTTTCTCAAAACGACCTGCCTAATGTTTTCCAGCGCTGTCTCCCTCGCAGTCGGGTCTCGACTGCACAGTCCATCCCACCTCACTTCATTCTCGCCTTCAGCCATGACAATCGGGAGCTTTCCTTTCGCAGCCTTCAGATGCCTCTCAGCATTCCCCCAAAGCAGTTTGTCTTGTTTTAAACCGAGAAACGTAAGAGAAGAAAAGTCAGAGAAATCCAGTCGTCACGAAAACAAGCGTCTGGGTGGCATTGGGAACCACACGTGCCTCTTAAGTTGATGCTTTCAGATAGATCCGCAAGGCAGATCGCCCTTGCACCCTCTCCTACACCAAGGGGCAGTCTTCTGGACAGAGATTGAAAAAAACAAAGTTGGAAAGTTGCAATCTTACAGAGCCGGTTAGCTGGGCAGGGAGTCACGGGGAAGTGTTCCCTGTGTCGCAGGGTCAGCGGATATCCTCACGTTGTGGAGCTGTCAAATCCGTGCTTGGCCCCACAAGGCTGGTAACAGTAGAAGGCTCTCCAGCCATTCGGGGTTTTTGTCTGTGCAGCGGACGCTTCTACAGCGTTCCCACCCCGCCCCTCCTCCGACACCAGTCTCCGCCCCCCTCGGCTCCTCCTAGAGCCCCGGCAGGGCAGCGGGCGGGCGGGCGCCGGCGGGGTTGGCGACGGACCCTCACCCCTAGCTGCTGGGGCCCGAGGCTCCTCCGCTCCGGGGACCGTAGCGTCCACCGGTCACCGTGTCAGCGGCGAAGGAGGGCGGCGTCCCCGACCCTGCCGGCTCCCGTGCCCCGGGATACACCGCTGCTTCTCCTACCCCTCTGTTCTCGCCCACCGCCGCCACGCCGGAGGGCACCCCACGACCCAGCAGTCCTCGGGCACCGGGCCGCGCTGCCGAAGCACAGGGCCGGAGGCACAGAGCCCGCCCCTTCGCCCAGCCCCGTCGGTGGGGCTCGGCCCAGAGGGCGGGAGCAGGGAGGGGAGACGGGGTCCTCACCCCCAGCCCCTCCCCTGTCCCCGCCCGGGACCGCCGGGAGCCGCTCCTGCCCCCTGCCTGCCTCTCCGCCCAAGCACACGCGACCCGCGAAGGCAGCCATTGGGAAGAGCCCCGCCCTCGGGCAGAGCACCTCCGCACCCCGAGTCCACCGCGCGCCGCCAACCCATGCTGGCTGCTGCGCGTGCGCGAGCCCCGGCGGGGCGCATGCGCCTTCCGCGGCGATTTCCGTTCCCGACGTTTGATGGCGCTGGCCTGAAGAAAGAGAAGGAAAAGTAAGGAGTACAAATGTCCGGAGATGTTTCTCGCACAAGAAAACCACAACAAATAAAGTGCTTGATGGTATCCCTGATATGATGGGATATAGTTAAAGATTAATCTAAAAAATTGTGACCGCCAGACCCCAGAGTCAGTGGGCAGGGCGTTTTTGCGTTGGCTTTTGGGAAATGTAGTTGTAATGCTACCGACCCCGGCTGGTTGCGACAGAAGCTACAACCCCCAGATACCACCGCAACACTTCAGGTCGCTGCAGGCGAACCAACGGTTCAGGAGGCCAGGGTTAACTGGGAACGTCCTTCTGGTAAGCTTGGTAGGCTTGGCTGTGACCTGTTCATTGAAAATGTTTTTCCTTCCTCCATTTCCTCTGAAATTAAGGAGCCGCAGCCATCTGGGATTGCTGCCTTTCAATCCAGGCCCTTTCCCTAGTGGCTTGGCGGGGAGAGAGGTGCAGGTGCCCAGCACATTTTGGTAGATAACTTGAGGAGCACCCTAAAGCCAGACAAACTGGGAAGGCTCCACGCTGCTTTTCCGCTGGCCTCTTTCATGTGAATTAGTGCTGGATTAGGGATCCCTATGCAGGGCAATTGCACCTTTGCTCTTACAGGGATCCATCCGTTTTGGGCTGTATTTCCTCTGTCAAATAGAATCCGAAGAAGAGCTTTGAAAGCAAGTCCGTTTTGTGTGAGACTGAAAGAACTCGTAGTGTTTTTAGGTTTGAAGTCTAACGAGCTTTGAAAGGTTCTGTATGTATAAAAACCTCCCAAATTATGTTATTTCTCTAAAGATGTTTTGATATCATTATACTTGAGAAAACTCAGGATTGGAAGGTTTTTAATAACCCGGTAATCGGATTAGATTTTAATTGTCTGTAAAGTTATTCATAAAATATTAACCAGGGACAAGGGAGACGGCTCAGCAGTTTAGAACACTTGTTCTTAAAGAGGACCTGGGTTCGATTTTCAGCTCCCACGTGGCCTCTCACAACCATTCATAACTCCAGTTCCCGAGGATCTTCTGACCTCAGTAGACACCAGTCATACACGAGGTGCATAGGCCTGCATACACCAACAGTACAGTCATACATAAACTAAGTCAACAAACATAACGAAAATGAAAAAACTCATCGGGCCTTGAGTATGTACAACAGTGACAAAGATACGCCCTCATCTTATTAGAAAACTAATGTGTAAATACACAGTTGTGACTCTGTTTAATATTATGGCTAGAGAAACATTTAGCCAGGCCTTGGAAGTCGTCACCCCAAGGGAGACAAAGACCAAAAGAACAGCACTGAGGCTTCAGCCAACTAGAATCTGCTGAGTGCCTTCATCAATAGCACATCACCGAGCACAGTATACCCCTACTGTCATAGAGCCTGGGTTCTAAGAAGAGACAGGAAATAAGTGATGTAGAACACATAGCGTGTGAAATGATAGCAACCAATTGGCAAGGAATGAAGAGTGCTTGGTTGTGGGTGGGGAGGTTCCTTTTTCTGTCTGAGGAGGAATTTTTTCTGGATCATACAAGCTGGTTGTCTGCCACCCCAGGACAGTTGTTTGATGAGCTTGCAGGCTGGATTTCCCCATATTCAAAGACCTGCAGTATTGAGATGGTAGAGGAACCTTTTAGGCTCAAGACTTGAGGGGGTCCTAAAGGGCTTTGTTATGGGG